AGTACAGCATATATAGACCATCACTGGACATAAATTGGATAGAGAAGCTAGAGAATATATCCAGTATGTGGAATTTAGTAAATATTTCATTATAATCAGCACTGTAGGCTTACAAAAAACCTAAATCACCTTTGAGTAAATTAGAACCATTTTATCATTTAAAAAGAAGGGGTCTAGGGCCATCTGTTTATGAGACAAAACAAAACTTAAAATGATTATATAAAAGCTAAACCAAACTATTGTTATCTTTTTACCTTTTGTTCACAAATGTGAAAAACAAACAAAAACTCCACATACAACTTAAGAATCTATAAAAATAGTACATTAAGATTGTAACAACTGCTTGAAAAACAGTGTACCTTCCAGCTTATTACCACTGTGAGGGTAAAACTACTGTGAAAGCCAAGCCCTTCCAGTAACTGAATGCTCTTGGAAGGTGTTCAAAATAATGTTATAGTAAATTTCCAACTTGTTTCATCTAAGGTCAAAGAAAGTAAGTTTTCTAAAACACAAGATTATGTTTAAATAGATGTTAGGTAAAAGTTTTGTTGTGGTGATTTTTTTGTTTGTTTGCGTTTTGTGATGCTGCTGGGGATATAAGCACTCTATCACTAGCCTACACCTCAAGCCCAACTGAAAGTCTTACCGAATAATTACTTGGGAAAATCTTTACCCTGTGCCTCTAATGGACCATAAGTCTAGTAAGGGTCATCTAGGTACACATAGGATCCAACATCACACATTAATTACTAATGTTATTTTGAGAAAAATCTCAAACCAGTCACACTCATTCTGAATGTTGGCAGAATCTGCTAGAATGTTGCAGAACCCCTGCAGAAACTAAATGAAGATGCTTTGCACCAAGGAGTTGGAAGGCAATTGTTCATTATGTCTGTGGGGCTGGTGGGAATCAGCTCCAAATAACCAGCCCAAAGTCAGCTTTAGGGCTTGGTTATATAGATTTGCAAACAGGAAGTACAAAATCTTGAAAGAGTGGTTAATTTTCATTGGGTTGGGTTAGTCATTGTCTATTGCTGGGTAGAAAGTCCTTGAAATATGTTACCAAAAAAAGGATATATTTTTAGGAGGGAAAACACAGACACTGCAGCTGGACATGGTCAGGTTGACCTCGGTTGGGCTATGTATGAAAAGCAGCTAGATGTAGCTAGTCTAGGCTGACTGGGTTGAGCAGTCTAGTTACATGATGGGCAGCATAAGCATAGCTTGTCCCAATATGATATTAGGCTGCTAGTTAGTTTTAAAATTTCAAAATTTCTGTCATGAAAATAGAGGTTTATAATGATACTGAAAATCTCCAAGCTTCTACATTTTGGATAGCATGTGCTAGTGGTTACTGTTTGGTTCCTAGCTTAAGCAAATGTTTAGACTCCTGCAATTTTAGCTCAGCTTGGCTTGTATGTGCTGCATGTCTGATACACACATAAAAAAAGGTGCCTCAGATATATATGACCATGTGCAGATATACATATATGACACTCTAGAGAAGCTATGTTTCACTTACAATAATTTTTTAAACAAAGTTCTGCTAAATTGAAAAGGAAAAGCCAGCAGTTACCAGAAAAACCTACCAAAGAAAATAGTAAAGTGATTTTCTAGCTGCCAAAAAACTTAATAAAGCAGGTACAGAAAACAAAATCATCACATTTTCACTGAGTACTTTTATCTATAAATGTTCATGCTTTTAAAAAGTTGAGTAGTATGCCAACTTTCCTTTATGAAGAATAACATTCTAAGATAAATTTATAATTCTCAGGAGAAATAATTCAAGTTTAAAGAATTACATACAAAAATAATAAAAATGACAACTGCAATATAAAGAACAGAAAACAGATACAGTATGCTTTTATAGGAAACATGATAGCTGTCTGAAAATTTAAAACTGAGATGGACTGCATATAGCATATAAGAGACTCAAAAAGAACAAATTGAGATGAATATCCCCACTGCATCCAACATACACAGAAACAAGCAATAGAATTCCAATCAACACTTGCCACCAAAATTGCTAGCATGAAATGGTAAATTTGTTGCAATGTATCTTAAAACTTATGAATACTGAGTTATTAAGATTCTAGTATAAATGCTTTAAGGATTTGCCTGAAAGACTGAAATTTGCCCAGCAGCAAAAATAAAGCCTCACTGAAGGCACTTATTCAACAAAAAGCTAAAGATGCTTTTTCCCGATGCACATTTATGACCACAAAGTGTTCTCTATATGCTGTACACAAAACTAGCAGCAGATTGGTTTAAGACAGTTTGGATTTTCAACTTCCCATAATAAAGGCAACATTTTTAGAAGTAATCATATTAAAATAAATGTCTCTACAGTTATGAGACGAAATTTAAAGCTGGACAGGCCCCAATGCCCTGGTTTTCTACTTTTTCGTAAGCCATATGACTTCCACATGCTGAGAGTGTTTTATGCTTTAACCTGCAGTAAAGGCTTTACATCATTTTAATGCCTCAGTGCTTAAAATGTAACAGAATCAGCCCAATAGATGTAAGGAATATTTTGGTATACATAAAATGATTTTGATCAGAAAGTTTAATAAACATTTTTCCCAGTAAATATTTTGCATCTCCATAGATATAAACAAAAAGAAAGGGTAGGTAAACCAAACACTATTTTTTCTGCTCTTAACAAACATTTTATTTTTGAGATCATTGTTAAACATTTTTAAATGCAGTGACTATCACAGTGTTTCACAAAAACCAAAAATAAACACTATACAATATAGTTACATAGCATTTTTCTCCAGTTTTTGCAAAGTAATGTTTCAGTTTAAGGTGCAAGCTTAAAACAAGTAATTCTTGAAATCCTAACATCTAACAACTAAACAGCTTTGGAATAACATATTCTGTATATTAAAGTTGGGATTTAGAAGACACATACATGGTTTTTCTATTCAGGTCAATCTATATATGCTACCTGGTGCTTAGAGTCCCCTTATCTGTGTGAATACCAACTGCAGAAATGTCAAATCAAAGGTTACAAAGCCTACTATAAAATTATACAGCGTATCTATGTAACTTTCAGTTTTTACAGAAGCTAAACACCATTATTGATAGGTAGCAAATTTAAGAATTGGTAAATTCTCAACCAAATGACATAAATACATTAAATTCTCAACAGTAAAAATAGAAATTATGCCAATGCCTTCATTTAAAAGTCCACGACTCTAAAAACCGTCACATAAGAAAGGTTATTGAAGAACTTATATTCAGATTGAAGGAAGTACAAAATATATTATCTTAAATTCTCCTGGTGTAATGTTATTAAATATTAAAGACTGTGAGAAACAAGAGATGTTGCTCTCATTTTCCCTTTAACTCTAATTGAAAACTGAAAGAAAATCAAATTTTCTGGACTTATAAACATAATTCAGCTAGATCTAGCAATTTATTTGTGCAATTTTAACAAGTTCAATGCAAAACGCTACAGAACTGATTACCTGCAATAATTACCTATGGCATAAATGCAAAATAAAAACAAACACAGGTCCTTTTCACTTGATGCATTTTAGAGTAAAATCATTAAAAGCACAACCATATTAGTACAAACTAGAAAGAATGACACAGAAGGTATTCTATCAATCAGGAAGAGAAATATCTTGTACCTAGGAAGGAAGAGGGAAAGAGGGAAGAAGGAAGGATATAAGGCAAAGAGAGAAGGGAGAAAGAAGGTAAAGGTTTCTATACTTGCAGGATCCTAGAGAAATGAACCAGTCACAGCACTCTACCCTATCTGATACATGTGGATTTTTTCTTTTTTAAAGCTTCAATCTATACAAAAACAGCAATCACTTTATACTATTCAACTTCACATAGTGTAGTACCTTTTCTGCCAAGTGCATTCTTCCATTCACTCACCCAATGCTTCCTCACTCTTCCATAAGAGCTTTCAGGCAAATGCGAGACAGAACAGGGTGGGGTAGAAGAAAAACACCAGCAGCGCCTTTCGGTGCAACCCCTCTTTCCCGCTTATAATTTCCAATAGTTTTTAAAAAATTATTATTACTACAAAAAATAAGTCGCCCTATCTTAGCACACACACACACAAATTCAGTCTCTTTAGAAGACACAGACATGTATACAAACCACCACTCCCCGATTCTCACGTCTCTGAATTTTAAGTAATTATCTATTGAACACAAAAATGACAAGACACCCCTACCTACTGTTTCGGGGTAAAGAAGGGTGGAGGACGCCTTTCAAAGTAGCCCCAATCGTGTAACCAAAACACGGTTCCGGAATAAAATATTAAGAAACACTTTTCCTTTCCCACCTCTATCTACTTGAGGGTGCAGAGATCCATCTCCACATCACATCATCTTCATAATTCTCCCGCACGGAGTTTGGGGTGGAGATCTGTCTAGGGGAGGGGACGGAGGCGGGTGCCGGAGTGCGAGCGGGCGATGGGACACAAACGAGTTGCTGAGCCCAGACACCCCGCAACACGTCCCCAGCCCAAACGTCCAGCGCCTGGACAACACGCACGCCTCCAGCCCAGGCCCAGGCAAAGCTGGAACTCTGGCTATCTAACTTCCCATCTCTGCACCTTCCTCCAAGACCAGCCCGACATACGAGGACGCGTCACACAGTTTAAAACAGTTATACCCCCAACAAACCGACACCTCAAAACCACCTCATACTTTCCCAAACTCCACGCAGGAGACCCCATCTCCAGAATGCAAACCTTCTGCCCACAGTGAAGGAAACCAGAACCAAAGAGTAGGGGAGCAGTCGACGCCTTTCCATTACCGCCCCCACAAACTGCCCCACCCCACACCCTGCGTCCGGGTCACCCACTCCGAAGCCACCCCCCACCCCGCGCTTCCTCCCTCCTCTCTCGTCCGGCTGTTCAAGAGACCTATCCTGGCTCCTACTCACTTTCTCCCCAAGACCCCTCAATTTTTTTTTCTTTAAGTAAAGAGAAAGAAGAGACTTGAGGTAGTCTGGCTTCAAACCGCACGACTCACCTCAGAATCCTTGCTGAGTTCTCTCCGCCCGGCACAGCCCCCTCCCCAGCGTCCCAGCGCGAAGGGTTGAGGTAGGGAGGAGGGAAGCGGGAGGGGGAGGGGTGTCTTCCGCGCGGGGCACCCGACGGGAGGGGTTAGGGAGGACTTGAGGCCGGCGCAGGAAGAGGAGAAGGGGGAGGGGAGGTCTCTGTCTCCCAGTCTGCCCCTGAAAACCTCCCTTGTCTCAATCACATCAGACTGACTGTCTTTGTCTGGCTGACAACCGCCATATTGATATCAACAGCCCCGCTCCCACCTGCTGCAGCCAGGCATCTCTGGGAGTTGTAGTTTCTGCCTCCCTTGAGTAATCGCTCTGGTGCCTGCATCTAGAGACCACCGGGAACTACAACTCCCGGGAGGAATCGCGCGCAACCACCTTCCCACAGGGAGGAGGGGAAAGGCAGAGCCGGAGCTGCGGGGACTACACATCCCAGAATACCAGAAGACTCAGCCATATATGGGGGACGTGATATCATGCTGGGGTGGAGAGGGAAGATGAATTGGCGGCGGAGATAAATTTGAGTTGACGGAAGGAGGTGTTCAGAAAGGAAAAGGAGGAAAAGGAAAGACGACCACAGTTCCCATGGTGCCTGGAGGACTACACTTCCCATGATGCCTCGAGAAGGGGCGTGAGAAAAAAACTTCAAGTTCCGCGACGCTCTCCGCGGCTGACGGCGGAGATTGGACCGGAAGACGCTTCCTGAGTTTGAGAAGTGGAGACTGATATCAAATATCCTAAAGTCCGACATGAAACTGGTAAGTCTTTGATGCTCGGTTAGAAGGTGATCCCATAGCCTTGCGGAGTTCGTCGTTTCCACCTTGAGCAGGGACCCTTCGCAAAGGAAGGGTGGCAGCTGGAGATCTGGATAGAAACGTGGACTGAGGAAAGCTGCTTTTTATGGTTGAGGTTTGATTTTTGTCTCTCACTCTGCAGCCCTCAGCCCCCCAGAGATCTTAATCACTCTGGCGTTTCCATGAAGTCAGACGTGAGATTGACTGTCACATGTCTTCACCTGTGAGCTAAGGTTAGGTTCTGTGAATTGAACTTGGTTTTGGGTCTCAGCTTCCACGCAAGTGTTACAATAGGTTGTTAACAAACTTTCCAAAACCCAAGAAGCACTTGAGTAGCTTATTTCCCTGTAGTTGTTGAGAAAATGGATTCAATCAGCACAGAGCTGAAAATAATGGGCATTACGTGGTCACTTGTTCAAATTTCCAACTACAGACCCTCAACAGCCTTAGAATTCAGATAGCTGTGGCAAGGATGTGCTCTTGAGGGATTTGAGTCTTAAACTTTACTGAGGATTTGGATGGGCAGAGAGGAAAGTGTTGAAACATTCCATTTGAGGACTTTAGGGACCACATGAGACCAAGCTGGATGGAACATGTCTGTGTTCTTAGAAAAGAAAGTCTTTGTATCCCAAATACTTGGCTTATAGGAAGCTTTTCAGACCTATATGTTGAGCCATTTTATTCTCACTAAACTGAATTGTTAATCACTTAATTTATCCCAACCGTATTGAATTACTAGCAGTATACTTAGAAGAATAGAAAAATAGTTGTGAAATGCTGTGTCTCAGCCTTTGAAAGTCCATAGTATTCCAGCCAAATTATTGTTAAGCCTTCTTTTCTGTAATCGCTATATAAAAAGACTTTCTTTTTCCTATTTGTATAATTATTTAAATATGCTTTCACAAAACACACAACGTGGGGCTGGGAATTTAGCTTAGCGGCATAAGCACCTGCCTTGCAAGCAGGCGGTCGTGAGTTCGATCCCTGGTACCGATAAAAATGAAAAAGACCAAAAAAAACAAAAAACCCACACAACGTACTCATCCTCACTTGATAATCAATAGGTTTTTTTTTTCCTGAGAAGTCAGAGAAAGTACTAAAAAGTAGATTCAACTCTAAAACACTCCATTTAAGTCATTTATAACAGGAAGAATGTAGATCAGTAAACTGAGAATATCAGTTTGCCTTAGAATCTCTGTGCTATACATACAATGCAGAATTGAAATTTACAGTCTTTGATCCAAAGAAACAGCAATCTACAGAAGATGAGAGAAAAGCTAGCCAAAATTAGAATGAACTACTTTCATGGCAAAATAAAGGCATTTCAAGATTTTTGGAACTGAGACTACAGATAATTAGAGAAGTCAGGAAAGTGTCCTGGAAAGATAACTCTTGAACTGTTAAGTGTAAGTAGGGCCTTACAGAAACAGCTCAGTAGTAGAGTGCTTAGTTTGGTATACACAAGGCCCTAGGTTCAATCTCCAGTTTCAAAAAGAAAAAATAGGGCCTTCCATGACGAGAATTCAGCTTGTAGGATCAAAAGAGCTTGGCACCTTAAAAGCTGAACACAGATCCTGTGTCCTCAATAAAAAAAAATTATGTTTGGTATACACAGTTAAAGGAAGCAGGGTAGTATGGAAAGTCTTCTGTTGATGCTACCTCATTCCTTACCTTCAAACCATCTCTTATATATTTAAAGTCATTTGGTATTTAAAGAAGGATCTGTAATGCAGAATTCTTGTTACTGGTCATGATTGAAAAGGAGGCTAAGCTAAGTATTGCAAACACATAGACAGGAAGACTTTAATTCCAAACTAATTAAAAAAAAGAGGGATCAGGCTACTTTTATAACAAAGGGAACAGCAAACTTTTATTCATTTGTTTGGCTAGGCTAAAGTCTAGTAATGTTCCATAGGCCAGGAATTGCTGAATTACTTTTGTATCTTGTGCCATCATCTTGTGCAAACATCCTGGCCTTGTGATTTAGTCTGGGCCTTATGATGTGACTGAAGAACTTTAGATGCTCGGCTGTTGAAGCTACTAATAGAGCATACGGGTAGCAGTAGACAAAGAGAAAGAAAAGATCTATACCAGTTGTAATAGGCAATCAGCATGTCTGTGTATCGAGTGGCACAGAATGTGGCCCAAAGGTTAAAAGGTAGTTGAAGGAGCAGACACAATATGAAGACAGAGATGCTAAGGCTTTATCCCATTCCAGTCACCAAGCAAATATCTGTAGGCCAAAATGTGTCGTCTTTCTCAGCAAAAATTCTTAGATTCATGGGAAGTACCCTAGACAACTATTTATGATAGCACTGGTGTTATCTACAGCAAAGCTAGCGAGAAACTAGTAATTGATTACTAAGTTATATAACCTCTAAAACTAGTTATTATCTAAATCCAGCCACAGGATTTATTTAGGTTTTCTACAGTAACAGTTTTATCATCCTGTGTAAATATTCCGCTTTTGCAGTTTCATCATGGTCTCATGAAGGATCTATTGAAAAAAGCAGGGCTGAGAAGCAACATGCTATCCTTTAAAAGGTAGTTGTTTACTGTGTCAAGTCTTTTAACCCTCTATGGTAGTTCCTTACTGTTTCACTATCAGTACTCCAGAGTGATCTCAAAGCATTGTTGTGCAGTAAATTACATTTATGTGTTGTGCTTTCCAAACTGTTGGGATAAATCTTCCCAAGGCCTACTTTTTTCTATTTTAATATACTAGTATATATTAATAAAGGAAATATAAAGAAATACCCCTCTTTCTACAAAAAAATAAAATTTTGTAACAAAGTAATTTGAGAATGGCAATAGTTAATGTACTGTATCATAATCTTAAAATAATAGCCAAAATATTACTCAGAATACAAGTCATACACAAAAAAGATTCTTACAAAGAAGAAACAGATAAAAGCACAAAACTTTCTCTTCATTGAACTAAAGGAAACTAATAGTATAAACAAAGCAAATTAGCATATATATTAACTTTTTTTTTCCTTTTTATTAGTACCAGGGATCGAACTCACGACTGCCTGCTTGCAAGGCAAGCGCTTATGCCACTGAGCTAAATCCCCAGCCCTATTAACATATTTTTTAGACAATGGAATAGATGATTTGTGGAATTACTTGAACTTCTTCCTTTTTATCATTTATTGTGCATATATGTGTGTGTGTGTATGTTTCTCATGTAAGAGCAACCATATAGTATTTAAGCTTATTATATTCTTAAGCTGTATCCATTTGCCTGTGAATGCCTCAAAAGTTTATCTTTATGGCAGAGTGGTACTCCATTGTATATGCATACACTTTCTTTATCCATTCATCTGCTCATAGATATATAATATATATGCTGCTTCCTCTGTGTACTGCTAAGGGATATGAGGTAGAATGTGTTTAATTTTATGTCTAATTTTATGTCTTTAGGGTCTAAGGATGTACTTCAGTGATAGAGTCCTCAGCATGTGCAAGGCGCTGGGTTTTATCCCCACCACCACACACACACGCACATGCACACGTTTTGTATGATTATTGAGCACATTCTTATTTTTCAGATTGACTTTCGTATCTTTAAATTGTATAAAAACTTAAGTCAAACTTCTTAACAAGGTTGGCTTGGCCCTGAAGTATAAGGCCTTGCGTGTCTCTCCTCCCCATATCTAGCCCTCTCTTCTTTTACTATCTTTGCTCCAACTGTTTATCAGACAACTTCCATCCAGTTCCTTGAATCTCACCCTTTTGTTGTCGCTGGAAATCTGGATATGTTCTATTATCTGCTACATTCACTTTTTTTTTGTTCTGCAACCTGGCTAATGTCTTCATACATTTTAGGTCTCTGCTTAGGACTTTTTCAAGGTTTCTGTGAATTAGGTACCCTTATTAATATGCTTCCATAGCACCTTTGCTGTTTGTAGGACCCTTAGTGGGTTTTGTGTCTGTCCCTTTTTATAGACTATAGTCTGACACCTAGTGTGTTGGCTTTCCTAAATAGTTGAATAAATAATTTTGAAGGTTTGTCAAGGGAAGTGAATACTGTTGAGGAATGATCACAGAGTAAAATGAACAAAACTACAATAAGCAGTGACCTTGAGGAAAGGATACTTAGCTGAGCATTGTGGCACATATGTATAATCCTAGCACCCAGAAGGCTAAGGCAGAAAGATGGCCATGAATTCAAGGACAGTTTTGGCAACATAGTGAGTTCAAGACCAGCCTGAACTACATAGTGAGATCTTGTCTCAAAAAACCAAAATGAATAATAAGAATGATTGCTACCTATTATTGCACAGTCATTGTGTACCAGGCAGTATGCTAGACACCTGTTGGGCAGCATCCCATTTAATCTTTTCATCTACATGACAGTATTTCCATTTGAAGTTAGACTGCACTGTAATCTCAGCACTCCAAAGGCAGAGAAAGAAGAATCACAAATTTGAAGCCAGTGTGGGCTATGTATTGAGTTCAAGACCAGCCTGCTCCACATAGGTAGAGACCCTGTTTCTCATAACAACAAAAAGTATTCCCATTTGACAGATGAAAGATGTGTACTTTGGAAGGTTACATAGATTAAATAGTTACACAGATAAAAAGTGATGTCATTATCTGAACCCATATCTCCCTGATTGAAGTCTATTGTTGAGTGATGGCAGGGCCTGACCCAGTATTAAGATATCTTTTCAAGAAAGGAAGGTAGAATGAGTATTGAGAATTTGTATCCAAGGTTATTTTTAAAATAGCTCTAAATTTGTGTTTGGTTCAATTAAGATCTTTTTTATTTTATTTGGTACCAGGAATCAAACTCAGGACCTCGTGCTTGCCAAGCAGGCACTACACTGGTGAACTCTATCCCCAGCCCCTCAATTAAGATCTTAAAAAGGGTTATTGCCAAAGGGGAAAAAAAAAGTTTTTACTAGTTAAAAAAAAAAATCAAATGTGGAAATTTATAACCTAGTGGTGGTTCCCATGCA